AGACATTGGTGCCATTTTGGTGGCGCAAGTGTGGCAGTGTCATGGAGTTCCATTCCATCACCATGGCAACTAGCAGTGGCAATTTGAAGATCCCAGTCCTCACCAACACCCTAGCCATTGAGGCCAACCAGTTGCTATTGTACCCAAAGCCTGAAGATAATGAGAACATGGGTGGAGGAGAAAGCTCCCAACCCAAAAAGAAGCATAAGGCCACAAAGTAGCTATCCTTGTCCAAGTGCCACAGATGCCTCCAACATGTTGCAAAGTATTGTGCGCAAGCTGCTGTTGCACATTTCAGTTGAGGATTTCCCAATTTTTCGAAATCCTGTTTGCACCTGACGCACTTGCCGCAAGCTCCATGATTGGAACTTGGTATGAACCGTATTATGTTGTGCCATTCAGGTCGAAATACACGCCAAAACTGGCCATACGATATCTTGGTAACGTTCCTATATTCCTCCACCATTTTCATCCACAACATCTTAATCGATGAGGGTGGTAAATAGCGAACAGGAAGGCTCTGGACATTGGAGGCAAAGTTTTGCACTGCTGTCGAGTAGTACGAATTCAAGCCTAGTATGTGTAAACGTAGTTCCCCGTCTTTCTGTAGCAGTTCTTCGTGGACCTGGTTTCCATCATCATGGATTGCATCAGCATCTGCCTCGCTGGGCACACTCTCTTCAGCTGAAGAAGCTTCTGAGCCACTGTCGACGACAGGATCTTCAAAAATGATCGTAATTTTGTTGGAGTCGTCTCGCTTGCGGCCTGCGCGCTGGAACCTTGGGGGTCACTCGAAGTTTACTGTTCGCCCTCGCATGTTATTTGCGCAACAAGCGCAACGAAAACCCAACAGAAACTGAGTCCGTCAGATTCCGAGTTTCAGATCGAACTAAACTTTGGCAAGGTCCGATTAGGCAGCATCCCAGCTGCTGACATGTACACACCGAGAAGAAACATGTCAACCATCCGTTTCTTCCGAGCGGTTCTTTTTCTGGCCTTGCGTTGAACAATTTCAATGTCAAGCCGTGCCTTTGAGTCTTTGAGTACTATGCTAGGGAACAACATGCAGGGTAGAAAAAAACAAGGCTGGAGAATGTGCAATGGCAACTTAAGCGCTGTAATCCTGTCACGCAGTGAGCTGAAGAGAAAGCAGCAATGACACCGACAACGCTTTTCATTCAATGTTTAGTCAAGGATCTGTCCCGTCAGATTTCCGCATATCCCGTCTGTGCTCCAAGACCCGGTTCAGCCGGTCATGCCCCATGCCCAAGAGCGCCAGCGCGCAGGCTGGAGACACGTGCTGTCCCATCACAAACCATTGCCGCCGTTGACTTCCTTTGCAGCCAACCACTGAAAGCACCTCATCTTGCAAATTACAGTTCACGTCGAATTCAATTTACCCACTGCGCACGATGATGCATTTGCGACCAGTGATTTCAACAATCAAGGCACAAAGGCGTCTTGAACTGACCTAGCAAGAGACCAGAAGAACCGCAGTAGATCCAGCAATTCCTCCAAGACCTTCTTGAACTTGGCGAAGCAGACCCCGCGTTGACATCTGCAGGTCTGAAGCCCAATCAACCTCTCCACGCGGGCTCGACTTGGACCATTCTCAGAATGCCTTAGAAGGATCTACTTCAGAAGGAGCAGGTCGATGGACCCCATACACAACCAAAACGCACGACAGCAGTCGAGTTGACAGTCGATTTGCGGGACAAGGTACCGAACCCCTGAACGCTGCTTTTTCCAATGCCTTCTCCGTGACCCATCATAATTGGGACGATTCCGAAAATTCTCAATCGTCAAGTCACGTGGCTTGTCCTCAGCCATGCCTTGCACTCCCTGGAACTGGCAGCCTTTGGTTTTGATTTGGTTTCTACCTGTTCGGTGCTCCTGAAATGCAAGTCTTTCTTTTGCCCTGCCCCTTCACACGTCTCTCTGCACGAGGGCGTGGCGATTGAAGAGTCCTCTTGTGACTGGGCTAGAGCACGGGAGAACCTAGCAGGCAAATAGAAGACACCGGGCAAACTCGCGTGAAGGGATGCAACCATCATGAAAAATCACGCGCCGTCATCCCACTTCTAATTTCCTAGTACGCTGAAAGGCGCTGATGCAAGCAACGCAACTCATTGCATCATGCGCTGAAAACAAATGCTGCCTAACTTGTGTGTGCAAACATAGGGTCCGAGGGACCACGCCTTCTTCTGTCAGCGGACATGGCTGGGATCCCTGGAGAAAATAGTGTTGACATGTCAACGACTGACAAACTTTCGCTCCAATTGCAAACTTCATTGACTCAGTGACTGTTCTCTAGCCTGAGCCGCGGTCAGGACTGTTCTCTCTGTGTAGCGTGCTCAAAATTGACCTTGAAGCACGATAGGCTGAAGGGCTGCTGTGTTGCAGAGACCAACTAATCCATTTATTCAATAAATAATACACGGTTTCAAGATGTTTCGAGCTATCCCCAACAAATCCACATACTCTCAATACAGCTGACTCTTGCTAGCGCCGGCTCAGCGGTTAGCAATCACCGTCGACCACAAGTGCTTGCTCAGCCGTCCGTGCTGCGACGGAGGCACCGCAACAGTCGGTCAGGGTCGGGCGGAGACAGTGCAGAAACATGATAAACACTTGCCAGGTCCAGGTCTTAGGTTGAGACAGGCTTGAGATGGCTTGAGTATTTTTTCTACGACCTTTGATTCGAAGGACTCCTGTGAGTTTCAAGAAGCCCAAACTTGGCCAGGTAGAAGTCGAAGGGCGACAACCTGAGAGTTCAAGTGGTCGTGTTTCCCACTTCTATCGAATATGGTTTGTTTGGAAGTTGAAGATCACAACTGCCACGTTCAAGTCAACGCTGCTGGAAGGAAATCTTGCAGATGTGAGACAGTGTTCAACTTGAAGTGCATGATTTCTAAACTTACTTGAAGACAAACCATTGAACGATGGTCTGAGAGAAGGGCTGAGCTTCAAAGCCGGCAATGCGCAGTTGGCAACGGCATGAACGGAGGATCGGACAAGGGTGAAACAAGGGCATCAAACTCATGAGTACCAGGCGGGTTCACGTGGAATATTCACGCTCAAGTTATCGTCCAGTTGATTCTGTTGTGTACGAATTTGATTGAGGTTTGCATTGAACTGGAGTCTGTGATTTCACAGGAATGTGACCCTGCAGGTTGTCGGATATAACCACAACGATCTACTGTAGTAGGGCTCTATATTTCCACGATGGTCTGTATGCTGCAAATAGAAACCACGAAGCGCGGTGAAGAGAGGATCAACACAAGAGCGCCCTTGACTACGAAAAACATCATGCCGGAAACCAGCGTCTCGTCTTAGAGCTGTGGCCGATCACAAATCAGTGACCAGGTCTTTGTTTGTTCACGGTCTGCGTTGGGGCCCCCGCAGTAAATAGTTCCCGCGACAGAACCTGGACGAAAATAGTTTCAGGCGCAGCTTGGAAGTCAACCCTGGTTTCAACCCTCAGCAGCAAAACCGCCAGATCCAAGTGAAGGCTGACCCTGAACTGTTTCGGGTCAATCTATCTCATACTGTTCAGACCCCTCAGCCAAGCGTTGACAAGTTAACCGCGCACATCTAAACCATACAACGATGCGGGCCCATGGTGGCACCTGCCCAAATGGTTTGCCTATCGCCTCAGCAGATGGCTTGAAACAACCCCACTCACCCAAGGGCATTGGCTGTGGTCATTAGGAAATCAATCCTGCCAGCACGAATCAATCAACCATTGAATTCAAACATGTGCCCCTGGCCGGCATGGCTATTCTCATTCTTAGAATGTAGGTATGCATGCCTGACGGTCATAACGTGAATGCGACAGTTCTCAAAGCTCCATTGATCAGGAACATAGTATCCCCAACCCTGAATTAAGGCTCATGGTTTTTGCGGGGGCCGGGCGCTCTCCAGAAAGACTTCCTGCAGAGCCTGGCTGAGAAACGTCTTCCGCGCTCGTTGATGCCGAGTTCAGGTTCACCTGCTCGTATACTAAAACAATCCCACGCAAGCCCAACTCACCCAAGAGCCTCTCTATAGTCATAGATGCTCTTCCCAAATCCAACCTGTCGCAGAGGCAACGTTGAGTGGGAACATCGAGACAATGTACGGGCTGTACGGGTATTGTACTTTTTGGCTTCTCTTTCTCCATGACTCGATGGTGCTCACATACAAAGGCTATCTAGTGGATACCGCGAGTTATTGATGAGAGCCAATGAAGTCAGCACTGAGCACAGGGCAATGAAGCATCGGCAAAGGGCCATGCGCACAGGGATCGGGATGGCGCAGGATCTGTCGGGCACTGGCTTCGGCTGTGCTAGAATATGATTGTAGTCATTCTTTCCCATAGCTATATACCAGCCATACCAAACGTTCTCAAACAATAGTATACAATAATATCTCGTCTTAGGACCTGCTGCATTCAAGCAAAACTCCTGTCGCGGCCCGGGCGGCTAACCTCACAACACCTGATTGTAATGAGACAACTCCTAAACACAGCGAAATCGACTTCCTTATGAACATGTCCTTATTAAATATGAACACCTAGGTTTTTGAACGATGCTCATATGGGCTCGTTCAAACAATTTTGATCAAACTTGGAACCCGAACCCGGCTGCAGGGGCCCGACGCACTACAGCACATCACGGTACCAACCCTCACAATGTTAAGGTCCACACACAAGTATGCAGCTTTGCCTTGTTGGACTTGAGCTTCCGTGTGACCAGGACCCACTGTGCTTGTTGTTATGTGTAATTTTGTAGCTATGCCATTGTCTGAGTGCCCAAGTGCGCGGTCTGAACATCTTTGAGCCGGGTCAGACCAGTACTTTGCCACCAGTTCCGCACAGTGGTACAGGCCGCTCACGCACCGCATAAGCAACGAAGGATTCCAAGCGGAAAGTGTCAAACATCTCTGAGCTGGTAAAGCCAATCATAACATAGCTTTGGAAAATTCAGTGGCTGAATCCAGAACGAGACCCTCCACAGGTCCTCACGATCCAAAGAGGAAGAGGAAGATGCCGAAGCAGCAGACGCTCCGAAGGAGGCGGTCTTCTTGCGCTCCATGGCCAGCTGCAACTTCAAAGCATTAATCTCTTGCTGATTGCCTCGGCCACAGGTTCCATGGCGATGGATCGATGATGTTTTTTCATGACCTGAGGTTCTGAAGACGGTTCTTCCCCAAATCAGATCTAGAATCTACACGTTCACAACACGACAAGTTAAGTCATGTACCACAAACGTCCCAAAACATGCCGACTGAACGCAGCCCCCAACGACCCCGCAAAAAAACACAAGTGAGTGAAAAGAGCAGATATACTGAACCCTCTGGACCTGTCAGAGGGTGAACCTTCTGGTTATGATATTACTGCAGCAACTTGATATACTGAACCCTCTGGACCTGTCAGAGGGTGAACCTTCTGGTTATGATATTACTGCAGCAACTTGAAACCTTAACATTTGCAGAGACTCCACCCTGAACAGGCATGATTTTCATTGATGTTCCAAATGTCTAAACAAAAGACCTAGGATCTAAAATGCCAGACCAACCAAAAACGATGGATGATGAAGAACTTCTGAACATGCATGGTCTGTTTTCATACATGCATGGTCTGTTTTCATTAAAAAAGGAACACGACCAGACCAGGGGGGCCGCCCTATGCTTGGCGCCCTGGCTGGCTTGAGGGGCCCCTGGCTTGGGTGGGGGAGCCTCAACTCGGACGCTCCGCCGGCGGCCGAGTCGTGCATGCCGGTGTCCGGGGTCCCTGGCGGAGAGCTTCGTTGTCATGGCGCTGGAGGGCATCTTGCAAACGCATGCCTCAATCCAACGACATCGTTATATTCTATCCTCTATAATCTGACCATCCCGCTTCTGAACCTGACGTTCTCTTTAGAGTATGTCTCTCTAAGCCCTACCTACGACCTAGCCCAAGTGCAGAAGGCGAGAATCCTCGAAGTGAGGTCCACCAAAACAGCACAACACACAAAAATACGAATACAAAAGAATACAATGTAACAAAAGAGCATGCAATTTTGAACGAAACACATTCAACACATAACATACTGTAGATGGAACCTGTGTTTTTTCAATATCTCTGGTCTCTGGGAGTCGTGTTTCCAATCACTTCCGATCCTCGGACACAGTGACCACCGGGCAGACACATGAATAGAAATGCTGGAAAGGGGAAAAGGGCGGATGCCAGCAGTGCAGGCGCCGAACCTGGGAAACTAAAGTAAACAAATCACATGGGAGACAAATGAATAGAAATGTTAAAAGGGCGGACACCAGCAGTGCAGGCACCGAACCTGGGAGACAAAAGTCAAGAAATCATTTTTGAAACAAATGAGTTGAAATGCTGCATGGCCAGCGGAAAACGGCGGACACATCTTAAGAAATAACTTAGACCGGTAGACCCCCTAACAGAAAATTGTTTGGGGATTGAATAGAAATGCTTCATGGCCAGCGGAAAGGGGCGGACACCACCGCGGGAGACAAATGAAGAAATGCTACATGGCCAGCCGAAAAGGGCGGGAGACAAATGAATAGAAATGCTGCATGGCCAGAGGAAAAGGGCGGACACCAGCAGCGACAGACCTGGGAGACAAATGCATAGAAATGCTACATGGCCAGCGGAAAAGGGCGGACACCAGCAGTGACAGACCTGGGAGACAAATAAATAGAAATGCTACATGGCCAACGGAAAAGGGCGGACACCAGCAATGACAGACCTGGGAGACAAATGAATAGAAATGCTACATGGCCAACGGAAAAGGGCGGACGCCAGCAGTGACAGACCCGGGAGACAAATGAATAGAAATGCTAAATGGCCAACAGACCTGGGAGACAAATGCGTAGAAATGCTACATGGCCAGCGGAAAAGGGCGAACACCAGCAGTGACAGACCTGGGAGACAAATGAATGGAAATGCTATATGCCCAGCAGAAAAGGGCGGACACCAGCAGCGACAGACCTGGGAGACAAATGCGTATAGAAATGCTACATGGCCGGTGGAACAGGGCGGACACCAGCAGTGACAGACCTGGGAGACAAATGCATAGAAATGCACATGCCCAACAGAAAAGGGCGGACACCAGCAGCGACAGACCTGCGAGACAAATGCATAGAAATGCTACAATGGCAAGCGGAAAAGGGCGGACACCAGCAGTACGACAAAGGGCGGACACATCTTAAGACAGAATTCAGAACCCCTAACAGTAAACTGTTTGGAGAAAAATCAGATCTGGAAACTATGCCCAATCCTAAATGCAGAAAACCAAAAGAAAACAAAAGAACCAATGATTTGAACACTATGCTCAATCCTAAAGGGAGAAAACCAAAAAACATTTATCCCGGCAAGAGACCCCAAACAGTGTGTGTGTGTGTGTGAGCTCTAGAGGTGTAGTGGCAGAAAGTCTAGAGATCTAAACGCATTGGGGTCCAGAACTGATGGTGGTGATGAAGGTGGAGGTTGTGGCGAGCAGGGGTGGTGAGTGAGAGAGAGAGAGAGAGTGAGTGAGTGAGTGAGTGAGTGACTGAGTGCGTGAGTGTGTGAGTGCGTGAGTGCGTGAGTGCGTGGGTGCGTGAGTGCGTGAGTGCGTGAGTGCGTGAGTGCATGAGTGCGTGAGTGCGTGAGTGCGTGAGTGCGGGAGCGCGGGAGGGCGGGAGTGCGGGCGTGCGGGCGTGCGGGCGTGCGGGCGTGCGGGCGTGCGGGCGTGCGGGCGTGCGTGAGTGCGTGAGTGCGTGAGTGCGTGAGTGCGTGAGTGCGTGAGTGCGTGAGGGCGTGAGTGCGTGAGGGCGTGAGGGCGTGAGGGCGTGAGTGCGTGAGTGCGTGAGTGCGTGCGTGCGTGCGTGAGTGAGTGAGTGAGTGTGAGTGTGAGTGTCAGTGTGAGAGTGAGGAATTGCTCACTGTTCTTTCCTCCGGAACTGGACATTGCAGGTTGAGTATTGACTGTAGTAGTGGTCTCTCAAAGCTCGTAACCTCAGAGCGGCTACGGCTGATATCCTGCGTGTGGATATTAATCTGCCCAACGTGAAGTGTAGGTAGACTATCCTCTCCCTCGTAGACAGCGATGGCGTGCACTTGTTTTCCGCTTACTCTACAGGAGTCTTGAGCCAAATATTGGCGTGGCACGCTATGGTATTCTGTACATGCATATGGTATGCCGTCGTTCCACTGCTGTTGACAAATTCCGTATTCTTGTTCAATGTTTTTCCGTTCTGTAGTTTAGGATCGTCCAGGTATCATGCCGACAGCTGCCCGGAGCCCCAGCCTATACAAATATGCTCAAGAAGCCTTCATTCGAACCCCCTTTTCAAACTCAAGGATGGTGCGATCCATCTCGAACCTCGTGAAACATTCTGCTTGTTCAACCGACTTCACGAACCACCTGCAACATCCAACGACCAAATGGATCCGAATGGTTCCTTTTGATCAAGGCCGCTGTTTGCAGTCTCCATTAGGCCTCCCGACTTCACTGAACACTTTGACCTCCCTGGGCCTGATGGGTAGACTAGTCTATTGTCCTTCTTCCAGGGGGTCGAACTGGGAGGTCTATGGTTCAGTACATGCCCCCGTCATGCGGCCAGCCAACTCGTGATGCGAAGGGCCTGGGAGCAGTTCTGCGCGAAGTCCCGACGGTTTCTATGGAGCAACTCCAACGAAGGATTGACATAGAATGGGGTCTACAATCCCCTTTCAAGATCCTAGGGCCCTAGGGCCGGGGGTTGGGGTGGGGCCTATCTTCGATCAGGATGACAGGATGATGTGTTCAAGTACTTATGTTGAAGTCATAATGGAAACAACACCTCACAAAAAGAATCTATTGACACATACTGGAATTAAAGATCAAAATGATCAAAGAAATGAGCACTCTTGACAAGTAGCATGGAACCTGAAACTGGAACATGCAATGGTTTTCGGGTTCATGTTGGCTTTGGCTGGTCTACCCTGATACCGCGGTTCCTCTACTGCCAAACGTGTCCATTTTTGCGGGCCTGTTGATTCTGGAAGACCCGCATTGCTCCACATGCGTGGGAGGATCATTCTATGCCGGGATGTCCAGGTGGATTCCACCTGGCCTTACTACTAGGAGCAAGGACTAGATCTACTAGGAACAAGGATCCGGACCTGCTCAGGTAGAGGATTTGTAGGGTCAGACCTCCTCGTGCCCTGCGTTCCAAGGTTGTTTTGCGGCTTATGCTCGTTCAGGCCATTCATGCGCATCTCTGGTTTTCATCCGACTTTTTCTCTGGACACGCGCTAGTGAACCACATGAGGATCCAAAGGGTTCTTCACATGATTCCCCTTAGCATCTATTCACCAACATTGGAAGTGGACACTGACCAGGGCAATATTCCACTTTTGTACGCTTGGTTTGGAGAGATTGACCTTCCAAATTTCATTTGCTGTGTTTCCCTTTCCCACCTCAACCTGGGCAACCAGTGGGCAACAGGACCCAACCATTTTGGCGGTGTGATTTTGGGGATCTACCATTGGTATTGGGTGGATCGAGAGTGGTGGCAAAGGTTGTTTATATGGACCCCCCAAAACAGGTTGGGGCACGTGCGATCTATTACCGTGACACCACTTGGGGTCCAGTGCTTGATTGACACCAAATGCCAATCAAGTGTTTCAAAAAAGAGGCCCTTCCCAAAGGCGGCCCGGCTCGCCATTTCTGGCCCTGGCCTCGGTTTGGAGTGCAAGTTTCTCATGCATGACCTCCTTCTCGGCCTCGTTCTCCTCTTCCTGGAGTCCTTGCTCCTGTGGGAAAACGGGAAAACAAACGTTTTAGCAAGTGGACTTATGCTGTTTTCACGACCAGGACGGATGGGAGAGCTGGGATAAATGACGTGCGCTTTGTCAAGCTTCAAAATCAAGGTGCGAAGTCAACACCCAAAATGTTGGGATCGTCCATATGTTGGCATTGACATCGCGTACTAGGTCTGCCCACTGAAATATATCGAGGTCGGGTCAAGCTTGATTAGTTCCAAGGGCACGGCGGCTTCTGAAAGTTTTCAAACCAGTTGCCAGTTACTTTGATTATATAAATGAATATAAATGGTGTAAAGTAATGAAGCATATACACAATTATAAGAGTATTAACACGGCATTCCATCACCTCAGGGACACAGCATATCACCCCCTTGCCAAATCAAAGGAGAGGATATGCTTCCCTTTTGCCTCCCCCAGGCCTCTCCCCACACCGAGAGCCTGGAGCCAGGCCTTTGCTTTAAACACGTTTGGAACGGACACCCTAATTTAAAGGCACCCCGCCTCCATTTCCACGCCACCTTGTCTGCGCTTTCGGCGTGCGCTCAAGTGCGATGGCTGCGAAGGAGTGGTTTGAGAGTGAAGCACATGAGAAAAGGGGAGGAGAGCTTTTTGAGGGAAATAAAATTTGGCTAGCACCGACATGCCCTGTTGATGTAATTACATGCGGCATGCGAGCTGTTCGTGCAGCTTGCCATCTGGCCTCAGCTTTCTGCTCGAGCTGCGGCCCCGTTAAGGCATGGAGACACACAAGGTTATCCGTCCGATGCAGGAAGCGAATTCCAATACTCCTCCTCCTTCTCCTTCCACTTGTCACTTGACACTGGTGGGCTCAAATTTGATTGCATTCATATGCTCTCCGGCATGTCCCCACCTCCACCCGGCAATTTCTCTCCATCGTCCGGATACACTCGCACATAGGCGAGCTGGATCACTGGAACTCTGTACCATGAGGTCCTCCCCCGTCATAGGCCAATCCCATCATTTTCTTGACTAGCCTCTCCGGATTGTACGGTCCTTGCGTACACAATTCTTGGTGTAGTTTAGGGGTTCACGGGGAGCCCCATGTTTGGGGCTCATCCTCCGGAGAGGGACCTCCTCTGCAGCCGCTGTGGTCTCAACCTCATGCACTCTGCGTCTTCCCACATCGGGTGGTCCTCGAAGGCTCTCCCGCGCCGCCTCCAGTACTGCTTTTCTTGTCCCTTTTCGGGCTCCCTTCGACCGCTTCTTGGATCTGTTTTAACATCGCGATGGGATTCACCTGCCTCCCAAACCCAAAGGCGGTCTCAGAGGTGCGTTTTGTTTGAAGACTCGGTTGGAGGCTCGCTTATTCTTTGTGTGGCAGCGGCGGGGCCGACTCCTCGACCTTGCCGGCCTGGGATGTGCCTTGGGAGGGACTCCAATCTCTCCTTGGCTGTCACACGCCGTGGCGCAAAAGCCGTCCGGTCAAAGAGAGTCTTAAATGAGTAGCGTTTTTGGGTGCAAATGTACCGCGTAGCCACCACGAAGCCTACGTTTGCAGTGTTGTAACTTTGCATAGCCTTCGCGTAGGGGAACTATTACGCGTAGGCACCGCGTAGCCTACCTCTGCAGTAAAGGCGAGCCCGCGTAGCCTCTCGCGGAGTTCCCCTTTCTGCGCAGCCACGGCGTAGCCTACCCTTCAGCAAAAACGGCCTCACGTAGCCTCTGCGAAGGCGATGTCACAAAACCAATGCCCCCGACACCCCAGGAGTGGACACCAACTGAGAGCCAACAAATTGAATGTTCGTTTTTACGAATCGAAAGACCATATTAATATAATTGGGTCACTTGGGTCTATCCTATTACCTGTAACAGTGGATGATGATGGTTTGTGAAGGCTTTGTTAAAAAAACGATTATATTTATTTACTGACTGTTGCGGCATTAGGCCTGGGACCTCTCGGTGTGGGGCCCCACACGGCGAAGTTTAAGAGTCAACCGGCACAGGGCAAACATGCACCTGTGAGTGAGTAAGAACTTTACAGTAAACATGTCAAAACAAAGTCACACGCAAAAAACAACCAACAAGATCCAACAAAAAGAGCAAGAACACGGCACAAAACAGTTTTTGGATACCGGGAAACACACAGTACAGCTAGCAACACGTCGTACAAGAGCAGCAGCAGCAGCAGCAACAGTCTCCGTGGTGGCAGAAGCAGCAGTACCTGTCTATGACACTTTACTGCATCATACTGCATCCTTTTTTTGACCAAGACGTCGTTGCTTTCCACCCCCCACTGAAAAAGTGTTGTCATCTCTACCGCCTCTTAGAAACTTAGATTATCATAGACCATCTAAAGCTGGAATAGGCTGGAGCCTCATTGTTGTTTTTCGGCCACCTCATTGCAAATCCCCTTAAAAAACACACACACACACTTGGATTGATGCTCGCAGGAGCTAACTCAGTTGACGAAGTTCCACTTTACACGCAATTAGACCTTGACTCGATTCAACCGCAAGAGGTGCTGGGTCAGGAGAACAGAATGTTTCAACAAGACTCGTTCGCACTTTACAAAAGTTGCAGGTACGTTCCCAAGGCGTCCCTCAGGAATATCACAGTCTCAAACCACCGTCTTCATTGGGCAGTGGATGGTAAGAGACTCACCGCCCCCCTGCCGAATTAACTTGCATTAAGTGGTGTCCTTCGGTACAGGTGTGGACACACACACACACGGAGCCAGAGACCGGCGCTCGCTCCTTTTTGTCCGCGGGGAAAGGGCGAGGGAAAAAGAGGGTGTGGGAGTGGATTGACCAAACGAGCCTGGATGCCAACCTAACAAGCCTGAAAGAAAGAACAAGGCAAACAAAAAAAGGCAAGGAAAGAAAGGAAAGGTGCAAGGGGTGCAGGGGTGTGGGCAGGGCGCGCGTTGACTAAACGAGCCTTAGCGCCAATCTAACAAGCCTGAAGGAAAGCCCAAGCAAACGAAAAAGGCAAGGAAAGGGGTGTGGGGGGGTCCTTGCCCGAAGGCGTGACGAAAAGCCGCAAGCGGCGCGCCCTTCACTAAAAGGCCTGAAGTAGACCTAACAAGCCTCTATAGAAAACGAAAAAAGACTTAGAAAACAAACAGCATGAGCAGGAAGGAAAGAACCGAAAAGTGAATACTTGGCCGTCCTGTGACTACCTAGCAGCATGACGTGGACATGTGACTACCTAGCCGCATGCGAGAATCCGTGCTGGAGTTTGATCTCAGTATGCCCTGCGGCATATGATCAGCTCGTGCAGGACCGAGGGTCATGGATAGTCCAATGGAGGATCCAATGCAAGTCCGGGGATCAGGAAAGGGTCACCCTTAAGGGCATGTGCACATGCTGCGCCCCTCGCTGGGGATCACACCACAGCCCGCTGTGGGACTCTGTGGCGAGACACACTTAGATTGATGCTCGCAGGAGCAAACTCAGTTGACGAAGTTCCACTTTACACGCAATTAGAGCTTGACTCGATTCAACCGCAAGAGGTGCTGGGTCAGGAGAACTCAATGTTTGAACAAGACTCGTTCGCACTTTACAAAAGTTGCAGGTACGTTCCCAAGGCGTCCCTCAGGAATATCACAGTCTCCAACCACCGTCTTCATTGGGTAGTGGATGGTAAGAGACTCACTGCCCCCCCTGCCGAATTAACTTGCATTAAGTGGTGTCCTTTGCTACAGGTGCGGACACACTCTGACATTGGTTTTCAGTTAGCTCAGTTCCCAAGCTGAGAAGGAAGGTGAGAGAACGGAAAGGTGCATGAGTCCGCAAAACTGTATTGTTGAACATCGTGTTGAAAGGCACTCGCAAGCGGTCAGCACGCGGCAGCTGAAAGCGGCGGAGGGAAATGGTTTGGGGGAAGTACCATGGAACCACCATGGAAGCAAACAAGAGAGATTGGAACAGCGTGGGCAAAAGTTCAATCCTGTTGCAGGTACGTGAACCTGGCGTCCCAGGTTCATATCCTCTCCAAATATCAGTAGCTTCGTTGGCCACAGACTGATGAATGGAGATGTGGCCCCCTGCTGTATGGTGTGAAAGTAGGGAAAAGAAGTAAAGCCCTTCGGCACAGGGGGTGACACACACACAGATGGCCGATTTCGGCGCACGTGTGTGGAAGGAGGTGGTGGCAGTTGTTTTCTCAAAAACGCCGGCATGCGGTGGGGTCATGTCCTTTTTGGACGTACAGCCGGACTAGCTCTTCAGCAGCTGCCGATGCGGTGGCTGGTGGAAAGGTGTAGGTGTAAATTGCATGTAGACGGGAAGCTAAGCGGGAAAGAGCCAAGCGCTGGCTACCGGCGCTGGTGGAGTCCCTGATCTTCCAGGGTTGGTTGGGTTGCATGTAGGTGATTGTGCGTTGTGTGAGGTCGATGTTGAAGCCCAGGAGGTGAAAGGCATCCACTGTTTCTAGTTCGACAGGATCGCCAAAGAAGTTGTGGTGGATGAGCGTTTGAATGGCTGGGTGGGAGAGGAAATGTTCGTTGCGCACAATGAACCGATTGTCAACATATCGATAGTAGGTGAAATGGAGAGCAGTGTGCTGAAGGAGGTTGTTGTGGAGTTGGTGCCAAGACTGTTCGATCAAGGTAATGGCGACGTTGCACAGGGCAGGAGAGAGTTGGGAGCCAATCCCAGCCCCTCGAACTTGCTTGTAGGTGTTGTTACATGCCCGGAAAATACAGGTGTTGAGTGCAAAGGCTACAATGGTAGTGATGTCGGATGTGTGTAGAGTGCGTTGGGTGGGATGCTTGGTGTAGTGTCTGCCCACATTGGAGTGATGGAACGGATTGCCTGTGGCTTTGGTGTCTACGGTCAAGGTGTGGGTGGCTTGCTGAGTTTGCCATTGTTGGATCAGAGAGTGGACTGCATCAATAAGGCGGTGTTGAGGCACGGAGTTGAAGAAGCCGTCGAGGTCGTCGTTGGTGGCGTGGAAGTGGATGTCAGTGGGTGTTTGGGTGAGATAGCAGTGGAAGTGGCGCCATAGTTGTGGGATGGATAGTTGTCCTGGATGTTGTGGGAAAAGGTGTTGTAGTATGATGTCAAGTGCTCGACTGGTAATACGGAGACGGTTGCCGCTCAGAGAATGAAAGTATGAGATAATGGTGCGTCCTTTCTGCCATTGTTTCTTGGCTTTAAGGTGAACAATGCCATATGGTATTGTGAAGTCTTTGCGAAAGCCCCATTTGTATCGGGAGCGGAGGCTGGCTGGGATGGTGGCTGAAAGGTGGTCATGGATGTTAGAGGCAGTTAGGTGCGGTAGAGGTTCGAAAAGTTCTGGGGCTTGCCATGTGTTGAGTGCTCCAGTGAAATAGTGGCGAGGGCAAAACACTCGAAGCTGCTCAAATTCGTGGTCAGCATGGTGGAGCACGACCTTGTCTCCCAGGTATTCCTGGAGTTGTCGGAGGAGGCGAGCTGTAAAGCGTGGATGTTGTTTGAGGTGTGCGGTGTGGAGTCGCCATTGGTGTTGAAGAAAGGGTTCAAGGTGTTGGCTGAGCGATGTGGGGAAACCTTGTAGCCGGAGCCATTTGGTAAAGGCTGTTTGGAAAGCGAGGAAGTAGCGAGCCTTGCTGGGATAGAAGGTGCTGTTCATATTGGCATCAAGGAAGATGCGGAGATGTGCTGGTCCAAGGTGAGAATGTAGTGGTCGTTGATGGTAGGTGTGGTTGGCTCGAGGAGAAGAGTTCTGAGATGAGAACAAGCACACGGAAGGTCGCTGGGGTCTGGAGGCGTGTGCAAGGTGTCTTCCCAAGCGCGGTGGTTGTGGAGCTGCGCTCGGAGTGTCTTGTGAGCCGCTTCACGTAGGCGGTGTGTGGGGAGGTGGAGTGGGATGTCCAAGTGTTTGTGGTGTTGGATGGCGGTTTGCAGCCACTGTTGATAATGCTTGGTGAAGTCATCATGGGCGAGAAATGGTACTGTGAGTGGAATATTTGGCTTTGGTGGGGTCAAGTTGCGATATTGGAGTGCTTTGTTGATGATGCGTAGTAAGGCTCGACTGCGATCTGGCTCCTCAAGGTTGGAAGCCATACGGCGAATGGCATAAACTTCCAGTGTGTGTGGCTACCACTGCGTAGTTGTTTGGCTGCGTCGAAGGAGGCGGAGGTGTGTTTCGTGAGGTTGCGGAGAAGAGTGAGGGCGTGATGTTTCGTGGAGGTAAAAAGGTGTGGCTCCCTGATTGTCTGCTGTCGTCGGTGTGAGTGGCAAGGCGTGAGTAAAAGTGTGCTTGGTGTTTGGCAAACTGCCAGCCCTGGGCCTTGAGCTTCAGGTGTTGGGAAATGAAAGGCCAGTTGAGGGACGGCATCCAATTGGAAATGTAGTGGCGTTCGCGGATCCAGGCTTGGTCGTAGTTCTCGTGGGAGGAGAGTTGGATGGTGGTGAAGTGGTGTATGTTGTCATGTGAGTGCCAATAACGTAGGGAAAGCTCGGCTGAGACAGGGATGTTGTTTTGGAGTTGCTTGAGTTTTGCTCGTCTATTGTGTTCTTGATGTGGAATGCCAATGGCTGTGGAGCCCACATAGAAGTGGCCATGTTGGTGGTACTGTAGCAGCGTTGAGGCGCAATGGTCCGCAATGGTGTTGAAGTGGAGTTTGACGTAGACAGAATTGGAGGAGAGGAAGTTGTGGTAATGGTAGGTGTGAGGCAGAACGTGAAGCTGGCTAAAGCGTTGGCGCCACTGTTTTGATCGTTGTGTGGAAGAAGGATAGCAAAATAGAAGTGTGAGATGGATGAGACCTGCAGCAAAGATAGCTTCGGCGCGTTCAATGTATTGGGTTTTGTGGATGAGTGTGGAGAGGGCTCTGTGAAGGCAAAAAAGCTGGTGGAGGTGGTTGGTGGTCGGCAGTTGCTGGCTGTGGATGGAGAGTCAGCACGCAATGGCTGCGCCTATGCTGACGATATGCTGCAGGCTTTTGATCGTCAGCTTGTTGACACGGGCCAGTGGTAAGCCGTAACGGGTGGCTGCTTCTTTCAATTGCTCCGTGGCACCTTGCCCGTTTGGAGGATGCGCAGAACCTCCTTGGTGGAGTCTTGGATGGCAGGATCAAAAGTGCGCGTCCAGTTGTGGATCGGGTTGTCTGGAACGGCTGCGTGATCGGCTGTAGGAAGAATAGTAGGAGGTTGAAGGGGATCGTGAACGGTGATGTCTCGAGGAATGGTGCTGGTGTGTGGTTCGCTGGTGGCGGTGTGTGCGCCTGCCCCTGGTGTGGTGCCTGCGATGTCGTCGGCGGCGGTGGCGGCGGCCGTGTTCCCGGCGGCTGTGATGTTTTTGTGGCTGTGGCTGTTGGGATGTCGAAACGTTTTGGTGGGAAGTTGGTAGGGCTGTCGGTTGTGTATCGTTGGCGTTGTCTGACTGAACTGAAGCCGCTGGAGTGGAAGGTGGAGGTGTGCTTGGTGGAGGGAGGAGAGTTGAAGATGCTTGTTCGGTGGTGGTTGCTGTGTGGCCGTCCGGCGCTGAAGGTGCTGTGGAGGCAGGTGATTGTGGGCCAGTGGGCACAGCAGCGGGAGGCGGTGATGCTGCTGTAACTTGAGATGGGTCGGAAGGCGCTGAGGCTATGGCTGGATGTACTTGGCCTGGCTGTGTAACTGGTGGAAAAGCCGAGAAAGGTTGCCAAACCCCTTGAGTGGGGTCCCATTGTGCTTGTGTTGGCTGCGAGATTGGTTGCGGAGACGGTTGTGCGGCTGGAGCAGGTTGTGGTGGGGGCTGTTGCTGGAGAAGAAGGCGGCATGGACTCCTGTGGAGGTAGAGTGTACGGAAAAGGCACTGTAGGGTGGAGATGTGGTGCACGCGGTAGTGGTGGCGGTGGTGCTTGAAACTGGGCCGTCGGCGGCCATGTTGGTTGTGGAAATTGCGGCATAGTGGCTGGCATGTGTGGAATCATGGTAGGCATGTGTGGCTGTGTCTGTGGGAGGGGGAAAGTCGGTGCTGTTGTGGGTGGTGGCTGATGTGTCAGGTATGGGTATGGCCAGGGGTATTGCATTGCGGCTGTGTTCGTAGCAGCAGCAATCGGAATGGCGCCCGCGCGGCGCGTCGGCAGCTAATGAAAATTGGAGTAAGCGTCTGAAAAGTGGTGGTAAAGTGGCATGAGATGAAAGGTCTGAATATAGTGAGTCAACTGCATGGGGATTCTGTGGTGAGAAAGTGAAAGTGAATCGACTATACACACTTGAAACTCAAAGGTCAGCTGCATACAGAAAAGTCCGGTGAACATGCAATGAAATGTCAAGGGTTCAGTCATCAAAAGGTGGTAACCGCAATAGCCCGGCGGCTCGAAAAGCAGTTAATCCGGTGGTGAGACAAAGGCTGTTATGAAACTGCAAGAGGTGGTGGACAGAGTAAGTCGGTTACACGATTTCCTGCATGCCTTCAGCGCCCCTTTCACGGGGATCACACCCAGCACCCAAGTGGGACGGCTGAGCGGTTCACACTCTGACATTGGTTTTCAGTTAGCTCAGTTCCCAAGCTGAGAAGGAAGGTGAGAGAACGGAAAGGTGCATGAGTCCGCAAAACTGTATTGTTGAACATCGTGTTGAAAGGCACTGGGAAATGGTTTGGGGGAAGTATCATGGAACTACCATGGAAGCAAACAAGAGAGATTGGAACAGCGTGGGCAAAAGTTCAAACCTGTTGCAGGTACGTGAACCTGGCGTCCTAGGTTTATATCCTCTCCAAACATCAGTAGCTTCGTTGGCCACAGACTGATGAATGGAGCTGTGGCCCCCTGCTGTATGGTGTGAAAGTAGAGAAAAGAAGTAAAACCCTTCGGCACAGGGGGTGACACACACACACACACACCAAAAACGGAACAACCCAGGTTTGAGTGAAACAAGTCCAGCTACTTGTGTTACCATATTGGGAGTAGTTCCGACAACAACGGCAGCAAAAGACTCCGAAAAGGACTGCCCTCCAAAGACCCATACAGAAGCAAACTTAAAACAAAGTCTTGCTTGTGGCATCTTTTGGTACACCCCCTTAGTCCGCGGCCGGTCCTTGATTTGGGCCTCGTTCACATCCACCTGCCCCTGCAAAGTCCCTCAGCCGGGCTCAACCGATGCACGAGCTGAAACAGCGAAGGACACAGCCCAGCGAAGTGGGCCCTCACAGTTTGGATGCAAGAGAGATGCCAAAGACGAAATGACGTGCGCATTCCCAAGAATAATGAACTCCCCATCCTCCCTCCAGAAGCCTGTCAAAAGACCTTCAAAAGCCTCTCCACTCTCAGTGCTTTACATACTGCACCTGCCCATAGCATTCATTTTGAGGTGAACCATTGTTCTCGAGGACTCCCTAAAACCCAGATTTTCCAACACCCACGAGGTCCCTCGGTGCATATGCCACAGCATTTGACGAGTTGCCACCGACTGACGAAACACCGTGTTTGATGGGCCGTGTCGCGTGCCATGAGTTGCAAGGCATTCACTTGCTTGAGGTTCTTCAGCCGATTCTCCTTGTCTTCCCTGTGAGGTTGAAACCACCGAGACGCCAAAAACCAGGTGGATCCAGGGGGATCTTCCCGATGGAGATGGATTGTGCGAAGGTTCTTGTGCAAACACCTGTGATTTTGGACCCCAGCCATGCAAAAGGTCCACCAAATATGTTGCCAAAGAGTGCGGCCTCCAGTGTTTGAAGCGCTTGGTGCGTTTTTTCGGGGTCATTGTATGGCGTGAAACAACAGGCCATTGTCCCACTCAGCTCTCTTACACGATGAGGCACCCTACTCGCCCAGGGGTGGCGCCCTTCAATGTCGCCCAGGTATGAAATACTTTTTTAGTAGTAGCGTCCTTGCTCCTAGTAGCGATGCCAGGAGCCCCTAGTAGCGTCCTTGCTCCTAGTAGGGGTGGCAAACTGATCCCACACTCAAAAACATACCAACCAGGGCCAGGGCTATCAACAATGTTGACAGTGTACTCAGTGTACTCAGTGCGATGGGCCTTAGAGTATGTACATAAGTCAAATATGACAAATGAAGTGATACAATATGAATATGCACAGCACCTAGTCAACCAAAGAAGCTTTGGGTTGGAACCATCTGCCCTCCCATGTATTATACCTATACATATTCCTTTGTGTGGTTTTTGGTTGCATCGAAGAAAGCATCGTTCTTAGGGCAGGCCGCAGAACTTTCTGTAGTGCAGCACATGTTTGATTTTGGATAGAATGGGGGAAATGACCAAAACGAAACGGCGCAAAACGGCACCAAAAGGGCGCAAAATGGCAACAAAACGGCACAAATTGTTTGAACACCCTTTTTTGTTGCACTACTGAAGGTCCAAAGTGGCAGGCAAAACCATCTTACACACCCGGGTGTCTTAGGTATAGCATCCTCTCCCCCACTAATAATTCTCTGTCCACATGTTTGTTATGTGCCATTAATCTGCACAACAGTCCCCTTCTTCACCAGCTCCCAGTTCTGGACGCCCTTGCTGGATTTAATAAATGAATTCAACAACTAAGTGTGTTGCGATTCGTTGCGCGCTCAACATTGATCTGTGTCTCCAGAACATCACATCAGTGTCCTGGAGACTCTCAAATGCTAGAGAATCCAAAACCTTCAATGATCCAAACTTGGGAACCAACACAAAATGTTACCGGTGACTCGGTGACATGCCACTTTCGCTTGCTAGTCCTAGTCCTACCCGTGGGTGATGCTGGCATATGCCGGCCAAAGAGGTCAAATATATTGGGGTCAAAACATATATATATATAATTAGATTTGATATAGTAGAATAGATAAACAAACAAACATATATATATATATACATGTTGTATTAATATATATAACACGTCCGAACTCATCCCCTGGTACACGGAATGGACTTGTACTGGAAGTTCATGTTCCTCGATCCCAACACCCCAACACTCGATCCGAGGCTTCGTTGTGGCCTTCGCAGTTTTTCGTTTTCCTCCACCATGGCTTCCTGAGCAAACACGCGTGGTGTGTGGGCGTTGCTGTGTAGTGTTCCGCGGTCCAGGCGCGGTCCAGTGACCCAGCCAACTACCCGTTCAATGGTCTGGTGAACTAAAGCTAAAGCATACAGGACCGCAAGTGCATGCTGATCTTTTGGCTTAGTCTTTCAAGTCGTGAGATCCTTGCTTTGCCATGAGTCTTTGGATTCAAGGCCTCCTCAAACTGGGTCCACTCGGGGATGAAAAGAGCGCTCCGACTGATGTGGTCATTCGGCACAGGATATGTTCGACCCTGAAATGGCATGCAGGACCGCAGGACCTCCAGCGATCAAAAATCTGGGACCCCTCCACTCCAAAGCTTTACATCTTCGCATGACTGGCTGGAATGAAGACTTATGTACAAGTAATGCCGGAAATGCCTTGACTGGAACGATGATGTCTTCTTTTCTCTTTGGTTGTGCAAATGCCCAAATACTTGCCAGGTTGGGCACTTCCCACTAGATATTATATATTAGATGGTGTTTGGATCAGTTTGCTGCCTTGTGCAGCGTAGAAAGGTGTCAACAAAATCATAATATCGAGTCTTGATTAACAAACGGTCCCAGAATACTGGGGGTGGTCTACATGAACTATCGCATGTGCATCATTCTCTAGGGATTCTGCACAGGTTCCCCAGTAGCTGGGGAAACAGGGAGTCCCCTGTGCCAGGCGTCATGCAGGATCGCGGAGTCCTTGATTTGCTGCACGAGATGTTCAATCCTCAGTCCAACGAAACATCCAAACGACCAGAATCGTGTTCTGGCTGTGCCCCTTCAAAAAAGTGCTCTGCTGTTTTAGCAGACCTGGATGGTTTATAGACACCCCGGCCTGATGATGTAATATTATGTATTGTCCTTCCGATATCCCGCCCTTTCTGCGATGCCAGACCTGAAGGAGTTGTGTATTTGTTTTCGTTCGCCCGTTGAGACATGTGGCATGGCTAGCAGCTGTGGGTTCTTTCCTCGCTTCAAACCGAAGCTTCGAACCGACGGATGCAGCACGCTGGCTGTCGGAGTCAGTCTTTTTTCAACCCCCCAGAAAGACCTCTCTTTCTCTCTATCTCTCTTTCTCTTTCTGTTCTTCTCCGGTTCATGTTCTTATTTTCAACGGAGCCTTCAAAATGGCACTGCGTCAAGTGCGATCGCCAGCTGCTCAGACTAGAGCATCCTCCGCAGCAGCGCGACAAGTGCTGCAACAACCCCCGTCCCCCAAAGGCGGGATCATCACTTCACCATGGACACCAAGTCGTAGTGGACGCATAGGTTTCTTCACAATTGTTTTGTTTTGTTCCCATTTTTTCTTGCCCATCGTGCGATGCAAGAACGTCAACGTCCAGGGAGCACAAATGTCTCCCAAAACCAAGGTGATGTCAGCTTTGGAATGGAGGGAAATGAGGTCAACTATGGTCAACTGCAGCCATGAAAAACATGTGGCTTGGCTTTAGTGGCAATACTCACTTGCAAGAGTCCATGAGGTTTTTAACAGTAAGCAGCAATGCAACTCAACCCTGTGAGGATGGTAGATGGTAAATGGGAGGCTCCAAAAAAGGATGCAGCACGGCCTTGAGGACATTGAGAAAGCGGTGACCCGCCTGTGTGTCCTCTGGCCTTTTCTGTTTCTCACTTTTTCACTCCCTCTTCTCTTCGCCCTCTATATATGATCAAGCTGAAGTTTACTTGAGAGGAGGGAGACACGAAAGGTAGGACAGCGGGAAGAGAAAAGAACGCGAGAGGCAGGAACAAAAATGCAATGTTCGACATGGTGATTTATCCCCTCGGAGGCGACCTTTCGTAAATATAATTTCCTACGCACTCTATGATGTTCAAACATATGCTCTCGAAATGTTCAAAAAGATTGATAGGAAAACTAGACGACGAGTGGCCCGAAAACATTTTTCATCACGTAGGAAAACAGAGTGTGAGTTAACTGTTAAGTGTTCAGTGTGAAGTGTTAAGTCGAGTGAGTTGAGGCAGTGTGTGGGTCTCTGTATGTGTGTATCTTTGTCTGTGTGTGTATGAGTCTCTGTCTGTGTGTGTGTCCGAGTAAGTTGAGGCAGTGCGTGGGTCTCTGTGTGTGATGTGTGTGTATGAGTCCCTGTCTGTGTGTGTATGAGTCTCTGTCTGCTGCTGGTGAAGGTCTTCACTGTAGATATAGTGAACGATATTTACGAGAAGCTTATGGGGTGTGTTGAAACTTCTTGCAAGTACATTCTCCATTGCTGTTGACTTGCTTTATGTTCCTGGCTACGATCTGGTGCTAGCTGGCCCAAGTTCTATGGAGACTTGTGCAATCTCACTTTGAGCACCAAAAGGTAAGCTATGCAAAATGCACAAATGCATGGCAGCCACACCGCTCTCCAGGTAACGTTTTCTTCACTTGAGATGTAGTTCACCAACCACTATTCTGGTCATTTTCTCATCGACTGTCCCAAAAACAAAAACGTGCCCAAGTAGCTTCAGGTGACACGCAGCAGCCATTGCCTATATCTTCGCGTGCTCTCTCTGCTCAGCTCGCGACTAGCCTGTGTATACGGAAAAGATTCCCCGAAAATATGTCTAGCAACGTCCTTGTTGTCCTTCCGCCAAGGGCAATTGCCCTGGATTTGGTCAATGGGCTCCACCGCATTCCAATGCACAAGATTGAGTTCTTGCAGACCAACGTTTCTGCCAAATTTAAAGATGGATCCTGTCTTGAGGAGTGCGTGTGTCAAATAGATTTGGGGGAGCTCGATCCCAGCACGCACCCAAATTTTGTGCTGAAAGCCCAAGATTGAGTTCTTGCAGACCAACGTTTCTGCCAAATTTAAAGATGGGTCCTGTCTTGAGGAGTGCGTGCGTCGAATAAATTTGGGGGAGCTCGATCCCAGCACGCGCCCGAATTTTGTGCTGAAACTCACGCGGACCGGTCGCAGCGACCTCTATTGGACTCTTGACCACGCGCGATCTCCGCAAAGGGTTGCACGCACACGGGACAGATCGCACTCTCGCCTGCATTTCGCGCACTCGACACGCACGATCTCCGCAGAGGGTTGCGCGCACACCGG